TGGACATGCAACTTGAAAAATAACTTTGTTTATATTATGCTTTTTTAAAAAGCTGTTGATTATGATAACTGTTTGCCAAAGTGCAGCTCATTAGCCTATGCAAATTCCGATAGGGTCATTTAAGAAGTTGTTTATAAGGGACTTTTTCCCGTTATGTGCCCTACCCTGTTTTCCCTTGTGTTTATGTAACTGTGCCATTCAGCTCTGCAGGCTGGAAGGTGACACTCAGTTAAGATCATGTAGCCGGTGCTGCGGTAGAGAACCCAGGGAGAATTCACCAGGGGTAAGTTCCTTCCAAGTGAGAAAACAGTATAGGGTCATATCCGCAATTTGCACCTAAGCAAAACCTAATACCAGTTGATTTTCCGAGATGTTTGTAGGTTCCCATTAATGATACCTGTGCTTACTCAGAGGCACTTAAGCTCTCTTATAAACGCTGAGCAGACAAAACACCACAGAACTTTACTACCAACTTTTTGTTGCATTGTGTTGCCACAGATATATATTCTTCTAAGTATTGGGACAAAGTGCCAGTAGTAGTAGTAACAAGAATGGTAATGATGATGAAGACTTTATACTGAGATTAGCAAAATCACATGTTTCTGAGGCATCAATGTGCATCCTAGCCTTTCTCATTCTGCTCTGTTATTTATGGCTGTGTTCACCATCAAAAATAAAAACAGTGTGCTAAAAATGGAAACATATATGGAAACTAACATATAATCATAGGAAGGCCAGTGCAGTTTGTAGTTTCAACAGGTGTTAGCAGGCTAAGGTAGGTTTGAAGCATCACTCCCTATCCCACCAAGGTCTACATTTTACAAAGCTAATTAATGTAAGAGTCACATAGTGGGAATCTTCAGTGTGACTTGTATTTGTTATACGTTAGCTAATTGGAGATAAGACAAAATTTTGGTGAAGGTGGATTCCAAGGGGTTATCTGCACTCCATTCAAATATCGATTATACAGCCCACCTACTTAGCTATTCTTCTATTAAAAATCCATAAAATGAAATTGAAGTACTAGGAAGTAGAGAAGAGCACAAAGAGGTAGAACAGGAAAATTCTTCAGCTGGAATGAATGACAAGTACATGCATTGCCTCAGGTTCAGATAAGAAAAGTTGTTTAACCTCTCAAAGCTTATCTTTTTTTGGAAGAATATACACGTGGTGAAAACTGTGGGCAGAGTGTAGGTAAGCCTAAAACCAGCTACCTTTGAGCTGTGAGTATGCTTCTACACTGCGTAATAAAAATGAGAGATCTTAGTTTTGAAACCATCTTTGAGTTGTAAGACTCTATGGAAGAAAAAAGAGCTGGTACTTCAACGGCTAAATATACAAAGGTTAATGTTTGGGTTCAGGACTTTTAGAAAGAAATATGTATAGTACCAGCAACAAGCAAGAGGTGGAACTCAGTACTCTGAAGGGTTAAAGTGAACTTTAGTCTTCCACCATCACCCTCTGGTACTGTGTCTTCATAAATTTCCCCTGTTTATGGAGTGTTTTTGATGGCAGGCAATTCTTTGTTGAAAGTTAAGTGCTCTTTTATATGAATAAATAAAGAAGGCTTTGGTTTGAATGAATACATTATTTTGACAAATGTTTATTGGAAACCCAATTATGGCTTCATAAATCAGTGCTATCTGTGGTACATCAGGTGAGCTCACCAATGCCATCAAATGGCACGTTGAATATTAGTAGGATAATTAAAACAATTCTGTTGAATGTTGTCCCCCTTACCCAGGTCTGACAGTAGTCAAAACAGGAAGAAATTGTTTATTATTTTTATTTAAGTTATTAAAATACTTCTTGTAAGATGTAATGGACATACTTAACAAAAAAGAAAAAAAAACATTTGTTTTCAATTTGCAGTTAGATTAAAATGACAAGGTCAGGCACAATGCATGAGCTGAGTGACAACTGAATTTTAAGAGTAGTTGGGGAACAGAAAAGATATGTATGGAGTCTATTGTTTGAACTGTACACCTAGGTGAAGTAAGGCTTTGCTTGTTTTGTCTGAAGTGGTCACTGATGATATGAAATGTGTCTAGAATCAATTCATGTGCTTCCTTAATCTCCCTGCTCCAGTGATTCTGAGTTAGAATTACCAAATTATTTAGAAGCCATTTTCATAACTATGATAATGAAGGGAATCAAGTGAAAATCTTGAACTCTAGGTCAAGAAGAAAGGGAAGACGTTAAAGTTGAAAATAAATAAATAAAAGTCTACAGGGAACCATCTAACAGGAATTCCCAACTCCTGAGGCCCCCTGCCTAATGACAGCAAAATGGAGGTGTTTTCAGTATCTGTTGCAGGACACCAAAGATCTGTTTAAGCTTTATGAAAAGAATCTACATGATTTCCCAGTTTTAGAATATGGCTAAATTTATATCCACTAGGACTTGCAAGAATAAAATAGGGATTGAAACTTAAGTAGTTGGGTTTGGTGTGTATTTGTAGTAGTATGATATAAATAGCCACATAGATGTCTGTCTTACCGACTCAACATCAGTATAGTGTTCTTCTCAGTGGCACAGAAGAGGGAATGAGGAGACATAAGGAGAACAACTGGAGGCAGCACATTCAGCTTTTCTCCCATGAAAGAAAATTACTGTTACAAGTTGGCCAGAGATGGCAATGAAATACTTTTAATTGGAATTGTCTGTTCACTGAAAGGAAAAAAAAATCTCTAAGAAAAATTTGTTTTCTTTCACCAGAAACTAACCTTCCTCCAGAGCAACTCAAGCTCCAGATTTTTGACATCTGGCAGCAGGCAGACAACCCGGAGGCCCCAGGGCTGAAACTCCCACACTAGGACTTCTTAGAAGCTCATATTTCCCCAGAGATCTGCTTCTCAGATAATGTACAAAGTTTGAGGTCTTCTTCCAAATAATGATTAGACAAAATTTCATAATTTTCTGCAAGATAGAGGTAATATTCTCCCTTTTCCACCCTACCTTACCCTAGTGTCTTCTCAGAATTTCAGATGAACAAGTAATAAAAGCATGGGAAGCAATACAGGGTTAGTCTTCACTATTTAGGATCCTATTTTTTCATAGCAAAATAAGAGTACATTCAGCCTAAAGCCAAGCATGCATTTTGCTGCCAAAGGCACCATGACTAGCAATAAATGCTCTGTAGATAAAGGAGACAGAACTTAGGGCCATCATGGTCCATGAAACAGAGCTTTGGGCTTTTTCTCTTACCTAAGCAGTCTTTCCAGGGCAAACAAATCTCTTTTCCAGAGTAGAGAGAAGTGAAGGTACTGTTTTATGTATTCATTTTAGGAAAACTATTGCTGAAGTCTCACGGATTGTGCTTTTTTATGTCTTAACTTCTGGACCTGCATTTTAGTTACCCCTAAGTGGAAATTAGGGATTTTAGAAGTAAATTCTTCTCACTACGCTGCTTTTTCATGTGTATCCCCAAAAAAGGCAGACCATTCAGTCCAAGCTGTGCACCTAGAAATTAATTTCCTTGATTAGGATTAAGGAGATGCAAGTGATTGGCCTAGTAGAGAGAACTATGGAACTGCAACAGGAAAGAAACACGTTTAGAAACTTCCCTGAACTCTGCTAAGGCTGGACGGATAACAAGAAAAAGGCAGCCTGCAATCCATGGACTTCACACCAAAGGTGCGAGACACAGCTCTTCAGCACCCTAATTATCAACCAGAGCATCAGCCCTTCCCCCAGAGTCTCAGGGATGCTGGCTGTCAATCAATAATGCTAACAGATTTGGTTCCTGGCAAAGTTTATCAGTTTTTCTCATCTCTAGTCTCTTTTCTCAAACATCGTTTCCTCCCTTTGCCTGTGGCTACTCTAACTGCACATGTGAATTATTGGAAGGGGTATGGGGGTGGTGGTGGGGGGAGAGCGCCCCAGTTTCCATAATTCAGGTTTAAAACTCAGCAGCTCTGAAAGACTTCCCCTTAGATTTTACTGCTGAAGAAGCTGTGGCTATCAACCTTATTTCCTTTGCTGTTGATTTAGCATTTGAACACAGGAGTGAACTGTTGTCTAATTTCACTCTGCCTTCTGCCAAAAATTCTTGATGGACAAGCTGGTTATTCCACCATTTTCCAGGCCCTGTGAGTACAATGCATCAGAACAGTCAGTCCGCTCTTCTCCTGTGACAAAACCAAAAGAATCTGCACCACTACATACCTTGCACAGCCCCCTATTTCAGTGGAAACCAGCATTTAAGGTATTACATCTTAGAGCTCAAAGGAGAGGAAAGCTTCAAGGAAGATAGTTCTTCCTTTATATGCAAGACTCCCGTTGCCATCCATAAATCACTCAGGCTCCTATTATAACCCAGAACAACAAGCTAGCATCACTCCTAAATACAGAAGGTTGTGTGACAGATTAGCAGAACAAAACCAATAAAGGAGTCATTAAAACACCTAGAAGATAAAACGCTTGAAAATATCTCCCCAAATTTCCTTGTGGCAAGACAGTGATTGAGCCATAAATCAAAGCTATTCTTCTTTAGGGGATATTTAAGGGGAAGGCAGTATGGTTTGTAGCTATGCTCATCTAAAGAACTGCAGCTCTTACACTAATGGGGACAAGCAGAGATAACTGATCACTGCCCTCAATTATTTCAAATGCACTCCTCTTCACACACTTTCCTTCCAGAAAGAAAAGAAAAGCAAGCCTTGTTTTTAACAGAATCAACATAAATTAATAGAATATATTTTTAATGCTAGCTTTCATTTGACTTTTAGCTTTTCCTGTGTTTTATTTGCATTGCTAAAAACTAAAACAATTAATTGTGTTGGATAGATAGATTAAATTGCTTCTTTTTCAAAAGTAACTTTGACCAGCATATAGAGAAATATTCACGTTATAAAGGCTTTGTACAGCATCACAGAAAACAATAGTTATTCAGAGCTAGTGAGTATGTTCCATCATGTACTACTCAGTGATGATACAGAAGAAACAATTACAGAGAAACAGACTGCCCAGCAAGTCCACACAAAAAAAATCTATACCGTTCATTGCATTATGAAATTTTGAAATCTACCAATTTCCACTCTATCTTTTTGTCCTGTCTCTCCATCAACTTCATCTGAACATGCCTGTGGTCTGCAATAAGCAGTGGGATGAAAACACCTATAATAAACAACAAGAAAAATAATACCTGACACCAGACTAAGAATAGTTAAGATGCTCACAATTATAAAATGTATTTCCTCAATAATGGAAGGTTTCCAAAACATATATACAAACAAAATACCTAGTGTTACAACAGTGTGCGTAGCATAATAAATAGAAATGAAAAGTTTTGTTTTTCTTCCCTTTATGTTAAAAAAGGTAAAAATTAGAATGACTCCAACAACAGTTCTGTACAGATATTCCATCTTCTTAGACGTGCAAAATGTTGTATGTTGTTTCAAAGTCCAAGTGAAGCCACAGATCCAAAGAAATATCAGCAGAATTACAGAACTTCTAACGCTTAGTAGAGCGATCAGTGAAATACTGAGTATCCAAGAAGTGATGGTAAGCAGTTTATAGAAGAGGTACACTAACTTGGGAAGCACACGAAATTCATCTTTATCAGGCAGAGATTTTCGTAAAGATATCTGATAATCAACCGTTGAAATGGAGATACCACAAAAAGACATAATAATGGCAGCATCTAAACAAAACACAAGGATAAATGTTACACCTAAATTACTTATTTTACATTATAATTTCTGAACGAACTTTTGGACAAGTTCATGCTTTCTTAACACTTTCTTTATACCAATTATATATTTCCTCTGTGACCTTAATTTTAACGCTTAGTTTAGTTACCTAAATCTAAGCATCTAATGCTGTTTGGGATGCCTGTGTTTTCCTGCCCAGCCTCTGGCCATTGCCGGTCTTGCCTAATTTGTATGTTGTATTTGCCATCTCCATACGCAGATGACGTAGAAATTCCCAAAGTATCACAAATAGCCCATAAAAACTTAAGTTTCAGCAACTGATATTGACTCTGGGGTGTCTATAATATAGAAATCTGTAACTTAGACTTGACCTTTCACATGGTCATATTTAAGATGAGATTCATCTGACCATTTTGTCTGAGTACCTATTGACCCCATGGACTATGAAGGAACACTAGACAGCACTGCAGGCCTCTCCATTTGGTTAGATAAATTCCAACCCTGAGTAAGTCTTGCCAATAGAGCTGCTAATTTTAGAGCTGGAAATGGTACAGCTGTTGTCTCGCTTCTGAGAGTTGAACCACTATCTCTTCATTGTATTGCATTCTGCAATGCTGACATATCCTTACTTGTTTTCTGACTCTGTCCCTCATCTGTAATGTGGATGATGGTAGTGACAGCTCACGGGGCTGCTCTAAATACATTACTGATTTCAAGATGCACAGTTAGCAGTTTTAAAAGAAACTGTAAGCAAAACAAACAAACTGCAAATTATATACGAATTGTATTCAATAACTTATTTCCAAGTGAGGTATCATTATGTTTCTATTATATATTATGATTTGTTATAGTGAAATCTTCCTTCTCATGGATTTAGCAGAACAGACCATCTGCTAGACAGAAACTCTAACTAAATGCAGAGTAAATAAACAGTGGAGTGTATGTTGTCCAAGGCATGTTTAAAATGTTATCCAAGCACATGAGGTGATAACTTTTTAGGTAAGATACTGTCCTGGTTTTGGCTGGGATAGAGTTAATTTTTTTCCTAGTAGTGGGTATAGTGCTGTCTTTTGGATATACGATGAGAATAATGTTGATAACACACTGATGTTTTGGTTGTTGCTAGGCAATGTTTACACTAAATCAAGGACTTTTCAGCTTCTCATACTGCCCTGCCAGCGAGTAGACTGGGGGTACACAAGAAGCTGGGAGGGGACACAGCCAGGACAGCTGACACCACCTGGCCAAAGGGATATTCCGTACCATATGACATCATACTCAGTATATAACTTGGGAGAAGCTGGCCGAGGGTTTGGACCACGGTTCAGGAACTAGCTGGGCATTGGTGGTCTGCGAGTTGTGAGAAATTGCACTGTGCATCACTTGTTTTGTATGTTCTTTTTATTATTGTTGTTGTTACGATTATCTTCCTTTCCTGTCATATTAAACTGTCTTTATCTCTACTCTCCAGTTTTACCTTTTTTTTTCTTTTCTGATTCTCTCCTCCATCCCACTGGGTGTGGGGGGGAGCCAGGGGAAGCACACAAACAGTTGTGTGGTTGTTTTAGCTGCCTGCTGGGTTAAACCACAACACATGCTCAACTTGCAAATTAAGGAGAAAGACAGACTTACATTGACAGAAATTATTTTTGTCGTGTTCCATGAAGATGTAAATCTGGACAAAAAGCTGTGGTGCCGTCTCAAGAAAAGTCTTGAATATCCTGAGCATGTTAATATCAGTCACTACATCAACAGCTTGCTTTTGAATGAAGTTGGGAGGGCTTGTTTCTGATGCATCTCTGCTGCTGTTTTGTTTAAATGCAGCTTGGCAACCATACTTCAAAGCAAACCAGTATCTATAAAAAAAGGAGACTTGATTAGACAGTGTTTTTTAAAAGTGAAACTCAGTAAAATGATATAGTCTAACAACAATTTTTCCCATTTCATTCTCCATTTGCATTTTATCTTTGAATGTAATCCACCACCTTCTACTAAGAAAAAAATGTAGTCCAGTATAGGTCTGGTATCAGTGATATCAGGTAATCATTTATGACCAGTGATACCAATGCCACGTAAAAACTATTGGAACAGAATGAGACTTGCCTGAATAAAGATTACAAGCTTTATTTTGTTAGTTTCTTACTTCTTTAAAAGCACCGCATTTCTGAAAATTCCCTTAGCATCTCTTCTCAGTCTCTCTTTGAGATACTC